TTACCAGAAGGATTGGGCAGATGTGATCCAGTAAAAATATAACGATGTGCAAAGTTTGAAAAAAAAATTAGATAACATTTGTAAGGATAACAAAAGGGGAGGGCGGTCTTAATATGATAAAAAAAATTAGGACGTGCAAAATTTGCATAAATCGTATACTTCTTTCAAAGTAATCGTGCACTCCAGCCAAAGATACATTTCGGCCTTAACTGTAGGCCCTCCTTTGCCATACGGCTCTGTGTATAAAATCGTACATACAGGGTGAGATAAAAAAACTGCAACAAGTCAAACGCAAACTAAGTCAAAATGTCGGAAATTGCATCAAATTGTAGAATAAGTTTAGATTTGTTCGAATTGGCCACCTTTGGCCTTCAAACGGTCAGAAGCTGCCCTAATGTTGCTCTGCGCTATTATGGCCCATTCCTGGTGAAGCGCTTGCTTGAGGTATTTGGTATTTTTTAGTGTCAACCTTGCTTTCCAAAATAATCCAGACACAATTGTCCAACGGATTGGTATCCGGAGATTTTGGTGGCCCTTGTTCGCTGGAAATGAAGCGAGGAACCTCATTTTGTAACCATTCTTGGGTGGCACGTGCTGAGTCCTGTTGGAATGTCCAATGTATGCTACCAAAATGTTTGCGTGACCAAGGCTTTAATACACCCTCCAGAATAGTTTCACCATAATATTCGGCATTTATTCTGATGCCACGGTCGATTAATACAAGCGGACAGCGACCATCGGCTGTTATGGCAACCACACCATCCCCATGGCCAACTGAAGATGCACATTTTCAGCTGGCCTCTTTGGCAAGTAAACACGATTTTGTTTGTTTACAAACTGCTGGACAACGAATGTTTTCTCATCGGAGAAAACCAATTTCGGCATTTCACCAATTTCGGCCAAGCGAAGTAACTCTCTAGCTCTTTTGAGACTATTTTCATTCAGTTGCGGTGTAAGTTCGTGCACTTTTTGGAATTTCAATGGCTTTACCCCGAGCTCACTTTTCAATATTTGCCGAATGGAATTTTGCGATATGTTCAGCTCACAAGCAATTTTTCGGCCACTGCGACGCGGGTTTCGATCAAGTCGCTTCTTTACTTTTCGAACCATTTCTGCAGATGTTGCTGTTTTCATCCGTCCACTACCTTGACGTCGAGCTACGCTACCAGTATCACGGTAACGAGCGATGGTACGAGACACAAAAGATTTATTCACATTTAAATGTTGAAGTGCTCTAACGATAGCCACTTGTGGTTTTCCAGCCAAAGATAAAGAAATCACACTATCACGCCTGAATTCCATCACGAAACACTTTTTTTTGGAAAATTCTTACCAAAATGATTTTGTAAGCTTTTAAACAATATAATGAGCTGTCACTGGAATAATTTTAACAGCTGTCGGCTTAGAAATGACAGCAGTCTGAAGTTGGTTGCAGTTTTTTCATCTCACCCTGTACTTTAAAACACATCGATCCATGATTTCTGGCAAAAACATTTTAGAATAATCCGTTATAGTCAGAATTTGGCGCATGGAAATATCTATATTGGGTCTACATTGGGCGCAAAAATTAACGAAATTGGATTCCGCACAAAAAACCAACAAAAAATATACCTTTATCTCATATCATATTTCAACCCCCCTATATTAGTTCTCGCATAAAAATGTTGATCAACGCCCCCCTACAAAAGTTGTACATAAATAATCCTATCCTATTAAAAGTTATTATTTAACTTGTTTTATTGAGTTTGAATAAAATTTGAATATCTTGCAATTTTTCTTTCGTCACGCTAAGTAATTGCTAAATCATTTGCAAATAAAAAAATATCACTAATTTTCTTCCCCTTTTCAACTCAGCAATTGAGCAATTAATGCTATGCCATCTTCTATTAAATATCTGACATATATGTATATACAACGTATTCAAATCCCATTCTCATTCATCAGTATCGTCATCATATTTCTTCATTAAATCGTTCAACGAACGGGTGTTCCTAGACCCCAAACAAAATCATACATATCTACTGCATATTCTGGCATAGGAACATTTTTATTGTCGTCTAGATTCTAAAAAAAGATTTTTGTTTGATGTGAATTATATTTTAAATGCTGCTAAAAATACACAAGATTTCTAACAATATTCAATTGTTAAATAAAATTGTCGTTGACATTTGTTTATTTTTCTGGTTGGCATATTTCAAATTCTTAGTTTTTTAATAACTAGCGCCAAATCAAAGAGAACCTATAATAAATTTTCATCATCATCATTGTTGTCTGTTGTTATTTTTGCCATGTATATCAACCAAAGTGGATACAATACGCTCAATGAAATCATGCCAATGAATAATATAATAAATAATGCTGATAAATATTTGTCGATTGTTTATATATTGTTCGTTATTAACATTTGTCTTGTCCAACTATTCTTTGAAATGCACTGTACCTACAATATAGAACCCAGGTGCCAAGCAGAATGCATTTCAAAATTTTTGTAAACTGTTTTAAATAATCAATTTACCTTCTAATTACCCAACAAAATGCAAAATATGACCGCAGCATGATTGCAAGGGAAAGACAAAGAAATGAGGAAAAAATAACAGCACTTTCACAATAAGCAACAGAGCTCCTCATCATCATCCACCACATGTCATGTCATTGCTCATCCTCATATCTGATATTATTTATCTATTCTTTGGTATGTTTATTTTGATGGTGAATACATCACAATCAGTGTCAAAACATAAGTGATGACACTCAACACAATAGCAGTGTAGATACAGACGTTGTGGCCAAAGCCATTTTTGGGTATGGTATTTTATTGATAGAATTGTCTGGTCGTCATTAGGTATTAAAATATGTCAACATATGCGATTTCAGGAATTTTCTTTTCCGGTCGTGGAGTATTGATTGATGGTAGTAAACACCGATGAAAACTGTTAATAGTAACAGTAAATTACCAATATTTAATTTCCAACAGGTCATGCCCCAGATTCAGTTTGCCGTAATAATTCCACGTCATAGTGGTTCACAGACCTGGTAAAATCGGGTAATGTTTGAACGATTATAAATATTTGCATAAGTTTTTATTGAAGAATATATAACTCAAGTCTACATTCTAATTTGAAATCTGAAATTTTGGGATACATTGAAGATTTGTGCCACATTTAAAAATTACTATATTTGGAATTCTCCAAGCCAATTTTAGGGACATTTAAAATTTTTCTACGAAATTGACATTTTCTAGCCAAATTGTTTTTAATATGGTATTAATTTTATAATTTTTCTTCGAGAATATTTAATGGGCTTGTAAAAAATTTACCAACGTATCGCTCATTGAGTTTCGAGAAAAACGCATTTTAAATTATCGCATGAAATTTTCTAAAATACAACTACATATCAACAATTTTTGCAAGCTAGCAAAAAATTTAATTTTTTTACACACCCCATGTCCCTGCCCATATATAACCCACTCCGATTTTTAAATGAAGAAGAATCTTGGATGATGTAATCTAGTTTCAATTAGAATGAGGTGTGTCAAGTTTGAATCATACCGGTTCAGATATAGCTATAGCTCCCATAAAGGATGAAATGAAAAAACTGCAACCAACTTCAGACTACTGTCATTTTTAAGCCACTAGTACGACAGCTGTTAAAATTATTCCAGTGACAGCTCATTATATTGTTTACAGTCGTAATAAAGCATTTTGGTGAGAATTATCCTGAAAAAATAATTCGTAATGAGTTCAAGCGTGAAGTGTGATTTATTTATTTTTGGCTGGAAAACCACAACAGCCGATGGTCGCTCTCAGCTCGTATTAATCGACCGTGGCATCATAATAAATGCCGAATATTATCTTGAAAATATTCTGGAGGGTGTATTAAAGCCTTGGTCACGCAAACATTTTGGCCGCAGACCTTGGACATACCAACAGGGCTCAGTATAATCGCACTCAGCACGCGACACCCAAGAATGGTTACAAAATGAGGATACTCGCTTCATTTCCAGCGTACAATGATCTCCGGATACCAATCTATTGGACTATTGTGTCTGGAGTATTTTGAAAAGCAAAGTTGGCACTAAAAAATACCAAAGTGTCGATCACCAGCGTGTGCAGCAAGCAAGTGCTCCGCCGGCAATGGACCAAAATACCGCAGAGCAACATTCGGGCAGCATGTGACGGTTTCATTGGCCGTTTGAAGGTCATAATTCGTGCCAAAGGTAACCAATTCGAACAAATCTAAACTTATTCTTATGCTATTTCCGATATTTTGTGCTTTCATTAAATAAAATTAAAAAAATAAAAATTATGGCGTTTGACTTTGTTGCAGTTTTTTTTTATCTCACCCTGTATGTTGTTGAGGAAGACTCAATTTTATGTAGCCAAGGTGTAAATCAAAAGAGGGGATCTCGAACGCTCACAAACTATAATCTTGCAAATAAAACGTGGGACGTGAAGAAATGATAAATTCTCAACTGGGAGGAGTAGGAAGATGACACGCTCCTTGTTAAAGATCTGGACCATTTCCGACAAATACAATGTACACATGATGTCTTAAACACTGACTTCTTAAAAATGTGGAAAACCGCCAAACAACGACTGACACCGGACATGATATAAGCGATAACGACAACGAAAAAATGTAGTAATACTGTACCACAGCACAGCGATAATCGTAATACTCACTACGATTTCTAGTGATCCGTATGCGGTACATAACTATTTCCGCTGTGCTCCGGTACAGTATCACTAAAATATTTTTTATTTAATATATTATTTTAGGCTTAACATACAAAATGTAATACTCCAAAAAAACCATTCATTCATAGAAGACACTCAGATAACCATGGGGCGTATGATTTATTTAATAATAAAATGTAATACAAAATATTTCTTATACAACCCGGTGCACCAATAATTACACAATCTAAACGTGTTAAACTAGTGGTTTCTGGTAACCAATTTTATTTATACCAGAAATCAATAATCAAAACAATAACTCACCTGCATTTTATTTATAACTTTCCAACCATCCTCAACGCCTTTCACAGCTACATATTTCGATTGTACCGGAAGTAATAGCTGATCCAATATTTCCAATTTACCGGCTGAGTATTTAATCGATTGTAAAGACATATTTACAATTTGTTGTGGTTAGTCTTTTTGTTGTTGCTGTTGTTCACGCTATTTACACACAAACACCAAAAGTCAATATGAACTGAAAAATATATACATACATATACAAATATTGTAGATAAATTGATTCAAGTATGCGGTATTGATACATTAGATTGGGATAAAAAAATGTGTTAGTTCAAAGGAATTTACACTTGTTTAAAAAAATTGTAACTTGGATTTTAACTAAAATTAATTATTTTTACTATCATTTTTCAATTAATATATTGGCCAGACAGCAAGTTATTTCAGTAATGTTTTTCGACCCACTTCAGTACATTAAATATTCAGATGAAAATATATTTGGCGCGTAGGCTTCGGCATAAAAATTGAAAAGGCTATCAACAATTTAATAAATCATTAAAATTATGTGGGAAAGGAAATTAAAATGAAATTATTACAAATTAAGCGACAAATAACAAATTTATACTTATGCCCTACAACACTATGTGTTGGGGGTATTATAAGTTTGATTGGGCCAAAAATTATGTAACACCACGAAATATTGGTTTCCCATATAGGAAAGTATATATGGATCTTCCTAGCTCGCCGAGCTGAGTCGATCTAGCTATGTATGTCCGTCTGTCCATGTTAATTGGTAATCACTCTACAGGTCGCAATTACAGTCCGATCTTCACGAAATTTAGAATGGAGGTGGGGTTTGGGCCAGAATAGAACCCTATTTCTTTTGGGGATGATCTCATAATATTGAAATGGACCAAATACTGAAAAATTTCATGATTTTGCAGTTGCTCTACAGGTCGCAGTTAAAGACCAATCGACGCGGAAGTTAGCAAGTGGCTAGAGCTTAAGGCTGGGCAGAAGTCTTCCAATTTTGATGGTAATCGGGTAATATCTAGTGGGTGAAAATGCCATGACACTTGTGTTAAATAAAATAACAATTTCCATTAAATCGCGAATATTTTTAATCCCGGCGAAATCACAAATAGAGGAACAGGTCAAACCGTTACGTAGATGCCGATAGTAAATATATCGGATATATATCGAAATATGTACAATACATATATACAAAGGAAGGGGATGTTAGCTAAAATGCTTATATCTCAAGAATGGCTGGACCGATTTTGACAAATTTTGTCAATTCAGAATGCCCTCTTGGCATAAGAGAATAAAATCTAAAAAATCGCATAAAAATGTGCCAATAATGGTGTTATTATAGATTTTGTAGCATTTTTTGACATTTTTATATTTTTTTCATATTTTTTATCGCATGCGATTTTTTCAATTTGACTTATAATATTGAAATGTACATTTTGTAAAATTTTTTCACCTTACAATACGGGTTGGGGTTATTATATACAGATTGCAATTATCGTCCGAATTTCACGAAAATTTTCACAAGGGTAGGGTTAGGCTCAGAAGAGCTATTGTTTTCAAAGATGACCGCAATATATTTAGGGGTTGAAATGGACCAACCACAAAAAATGTTCCTGATTTTGCAGCCGTTATAAAGTCGCAAATAGAAACCAAAGGACAGCGGGTAGTATGGAACACTACTTTTGTGTGAAAAAAATACCAACATTACTTACAGGCGATATCCGAAATACACAAAAGGCGAACTTCTGGCTTTTTTTATGCTGATTTCGTTGATAAATATAGCCAAATATCGTAGACAAGCAAATAATTTAGATGGGTCTTAATTTGTAGATGCAGAACGGCTTCTTGCTTTTGGAGATGATTGCAAAATATTAATGGGCTCAAATGAACCAAAACAGAAAAAAATACTGATCACACAATTGATGCTAATGGACATGTCTGTGAAGAGAGGCAAAATGGTAAGGGCAATATCTGGGCAGTGCTCCATAACAAAATTTCAAAAGCGAAATCTTCCAAAATGGACTTGGATATAAGGGTGCTTCTAACATATTGTAGTGTTGTAGGGTATCACATAGTCGGCCCCGCACGACTATAGCCTTTGCTTACTTGTTTTGTATTTTGTTTGGCATTAACACCCTACAGAATATATTGCAAGATGCATAATTGGCCATGTCTTGACTGATATAGAAAAACAAGTTATATGAAATCAGTCGGTATTGCCGACAGCTGCATACCCTCAGCCAATGTTTGGTTATTTAAATATATTTAGACTTGCAATATGATTATTTAAACTGCGGACCCTTCATGGGAGAGGTTCGTGTCTGACATAAGTCTGATAAAAATACTAAAACGTATCACGTCTGGATTTAATATCGACTACTTGCTCCACTTTAAATTAGATATTTTACAATATTTCGAAAAGTTCACGTTTTATGAGAGTTGTGATTATTTCAAAATTTAACCCGTTGTGTAGAGTTACCAGAAGGAGTAGTCCGATATTGTCCATCTTCACAACACATCTAGCAAATGCCGTGGCAATTTCATTGTATTTACGCCCTCTTTTGTCCTCATGGAAATTTGAAACAACTTTTAATCAAAAAAACAGGTAAAAACGCGTTAAGTTCAACCGGGTCAAACTTTTTATATGAAAGGATCGGGATTGAACATTGAGTCCACTTCCACTTCTAGTGAAATCAGTTGGTAAAAAGTAATGTCGATAGTTGCAGTTTTCTGCTATAGTGGTTGTTAAAGTCTCATGCCAAATTTTCTTCAGGACATTGCATCCCCTTTCACTTAGCCAGTTGCGTTGCAATCTCCAGTAGTAATGCTGGTCTATCATTCTGAAGAAATAGCACAAAGGTGGCCTAATCGAGTTGTCGACCTCAATATCAATTGACTCGGATCCACATCTTCCCAATGAATTTGCCACTTCACTACCAAAAATGTTGCAATAGCCCGGAACCCAACAGAGCTTGATGGACGATATAACCTTAATAACCTGCCCTCTTCTATCAATAAGTACCGATGTAGAATAACGGTAGACACATTGGCTGGCCATTGCAGTATAAAACATATGACCTCGAAATGGGATGACAGTGGTTCTGTCTACTGTAGACTATGAGCAGTTAAGAACAGGTAGAGAAATTAAATTGAAAATTTTCTATGCAGATATCCAATATTATCAAACAGTAGCTACAGAATGAGATTTGATTTCTTTATATTTGGCACGCGTCGCAGTGGACGAAAAATGGCTCCTCAGTTGAACATATCGTAATATTCCATCCGGCAAATATTGAAAAATGAGCTCGGGGTAAAGCCATTGAAATTCCAAAAAGTGCAAGAACTTACACCCCAAGAGAAAGAAAATAGACTCAAAAGAGCTAAAGAGTTGGTTCGCTTGGCCAGCAGTTTTTAAACAAACAAAATGATCGTGTTTACTTGCCAAAGAGGTCAGCTGAAAATGTGCATCTTCGGTTGGACACCAGAACTCAAGCGAAGGCCATGGTGATGGTGTGGGCCGCCATAACAGCGGATGGTCGCTCTCCGCTTGTATTAATCGACCGTCGACCGCCACGCAAACATTTTGGCCGCCCAAGAATGATTAAAAAATGAGGTCCCTCGCTTCATTTCCCGCGCACAGGGGCCACCAAAATCTCCGTTGGACTATTGTGTCTGGAGTATTTTGGAAAGCAAGGTTGACACTAAAAAAATACCGCAGAGCAACATTCGGGCAGCGTGTGACGGTTTTATTGGCCGTTTGAAGGCCATAATTCGTGCCAAAGTTGTCCAATTCGAAAAAATCTAAACTTATTCTAAAATTTGATGCTATTTCCGACATTTTTTTGCTTTCATTCAATAAAATTTAAAAAAAAATTAAAAATTATGGCGTTTGACTTTGCTGCAGTTTTTTTATCTCACCCTGTATATGCTATATTTAATACGAGGAAGAGACAAACTCTAACGTTCTTCTCAAACGTAGATCTCATCATCAATTAAAGGTTTGCTAAAAGCATCTCATGGCTAGTTATTAATTTCTACAGCCCTTCCTTCTTTTTTGCTGCTATATCATTCCTGTCACCACCACATTTTCTTCCTAGGATGAAAACAAAGGACCAAAGGTTTCCGATTGAAGCAGCTGCCGGCTGTAGTGCAGATGCGCATCTTGAAAACAAACCAAATGCTAATTATTCCACTTTTTGGGAAATTTGGCAAAGGCGTTTGACTTTGTAGCAGTTTTTTATCACACCCTGTATAAACTGTTTGAATACCAATTTTCCTTATAGTGTCGTTTTAATAACAAAATCCTTAATTAACCCTTAAGTATCCATGTAAAATGCAAGTGTCTTTGCTAATAAAACTTTTAAATTAAACACGTCAGTTCCAAAATTAAAAAAAAAAGTAATTATTTAAAAAACCATAAACATATGCAAAACTACACAGTTTTTATTTGATTCTTCTTTAAAGCACCTCACTACATAAACATGCGTAGCGCCAACAACAGTTCAGCTAAAAACTTAATCTCGTGCCAAAAAACACTAAATTTCAAATAAGAAAGAAAATTGAAATAAAAACACTTTCACATGAATATTTTGGCATTAACGATTATTGACTTTCAATTTGCACGCTATAAATGACAACAACTCTTGTTGGCTGCTGATCATTGAATGTTGGGCCAGACATCGGTCCGATGGATGCTTTCGTACCAAACGGCCAGATTTTCAATACGAAACAATAATATAGCACATCCGAAAAAGACTCATTGATTTTTTGTGTTGATAATTAAAAACATTTTAAGCCATGAAAAGTGTTACGCTCGAATAAGAATACAGGATGGTGACAACAACAACACCAACACTTTCCCCATCACACACAGAAAGATCAATGGCCAACATTTTTTTAATCAGTAGTGGAACAATTTTTTAAATTAAATTTTATTGAAACAATAGTATCACAACAACAACGTCGACGAAAGTTTGGAAATTCTTAATAAATTTTATGATTTTTTTTCTTTACTAAAAAAGACTGATTAACATTTTTTTCTCATACCGAATCGAAATTTTTCAAAATAAAAAATGATCACGCGCAACTTTTGTACCGTCCGTTGAACGTTTTGTAGGCAACTGAAATAATATTCTCTTGATTTGTTGTCACATTTTGAAAGTGTTTTTCCTGCTATTGAAGATAACAGAATACATCTCACTCTCACCGCGAGTGACTTGAGTGTCTGTCTGTTGTGTCTAACCTAAAGAGGCTGATAGTTCTGCTTACAATTCATTTGAATGTGAAGATATATCATCGTCAGTTTGTTGTGCATTCTTTTCTTTGGTTTGTTTTTATTTCATTATTTTCAACGAATGTTCAATTTGTCGTTGAATTCGTTTCCTAATACAAATTAACATTCATCAGGATGTCGTATTTCACAAGGGAATGTCTCCCAATGACTGAGGCACAATTTAAAATCACATAGACTTTTTATAAATTTGTTGAGAGGTTGATAAAAGTTTTACTATAGAAGGGTATAACATTTTTATACTACTCCACATCTGATATTGGGGGAAAAATATATGCCCTCATTATACAGGGTGAGACGAAAAAACTACAACCAACTTCAGACTGCTTTCATTTCAAAGCCACTTGTCCGACAGCTGTTAAAATTATTCCAGTGACAGCTCATTATATTGTTTACAAGCGTACAAAAGCATTTTGATGAGAATTTTTCAGAAAAAATGTTATTCGTGATGGAATTCAAGTGTGATAGTGTGATTTCTTTACATTTGAATGGAAGACCACAAGTGGTTATCGTTAAAGCACTCCAGCTTTTAAATGTGAATAAATCTTTTGTGTCTCGTACCATCGCTCGTTACCGTGATACTGGTAGCGTAGCCCGACGTCAAGGAAGTCGACGGAAGAAAACAGCAACATAAGCAGAAATGATTTGAAAAGTGAAGAAGCGACTTGATCGAAACTCGCAGTGGCAGAAAAATGGCTCGTGAGCTAAACATATCGCAATATTCTATTCGTCAAATATTAAAAAATGAGTTCGGGGTAAAGACATTGAAATTCCAAAAAGTGCACGAACTTACACCGCAACAGAAAGAAAATAGACTCAACAGAGCTAAAGAGTTGCTTCGCTTGGCCGAAGGCGGTGAACTGCCAAATTTGGTTTTCTCCGATGAGAAAACATTCGTTGTCCAGCAGTTTGTAAACAAACAAAATGATCGTGTTTGCTTGCCAAAGTGGTCAGCTGAAAATGTGCACCTTCAGTTGGCCACCAGTACTCAAGCGCCGGCCATGGTGATGGTGTGGGCCGCCATAAAAGCCGATGGTCGCTCTCCGCTCGTATTAGTCGACCGTGGCATCAGAATGTATAAAATCCTTGGGCACGGAAACCTTGGTCGCAGACCTTGGACATTTCAACAGGCGCCACCCAAGAATGGTTACAAAATGAGGTTACTCGCTTCATTTCCAGCGCACAAATATTCGGACAGCGTGTGACGATTTCATTGGCCGTTTGAAGGCCACAATTCGTGACAAAGGTGACCAATTCGAACAAATCTAAACTTATTGTAAAATTTGATGCTATTTCCGACATTTTTTGCTTTCATACAAAAAAAATTTAAAAAAAAATGTACAAATTATGGCGTTTGGCTTTGTTGCAGTTTTTTATCTCACCCTGTACATATATTTTAATTTTTCCATTATTTGGCATTTTATTTGTAATCGCTCAAAGCCAGTCGCCAGTCACTTATAGAAAATTGAAAATAAATTGAATACAATGGTTACATATTTTAAAAAGGGTCGGCACATAAACTTATATTTGTTCCCTAAGGATAATATAAATTTGTTTCATCAGTATATCACTTCATAATGATTGAAAACATCTAGTTTAATAAGAACTGACATATTTGAAGTTGGCATCTCTTCTTGGAATAATGATAATTATAATGACGACAATGATAATGGCAATCACATGTTTTTATTTGTTTAATAGCAAAACAGAGATAAGCTAGCTGATGATATGTTAAGGTTGACAGTTTTCTTGCGACACAAACAAATCACTTATATTTTGTTACAAAGAGTTTGCTGTCACATATACCGGACAAAATCATTGTCAGTTGGACAGAAATTAGCGTTTTGTATATGTCGTACGTAATATACAGTTAATAAGTTGATTTTTCTCAATTTCATATTTTATTAATATTACACCAAAGACAAAAACGTGTACACGCGTTAATATTGTCTACTACAACGTGTTGAATGGGATAACACCATCATATATAATCTGCAGCTTGGTAAACACTTTCATTGTTGTGATGATTATGGGGCAAATATAAAACTAAATCTTATCTGTTAAAAAATATGAAACAAGTAAAAATGATACAAAACCAGACATAAAATAATTAAAACAAAACTTAAGCATCTTGGCATCATGGCTAGGCATATTCATGTCAAATTATAAAGGGAAACGGCAGAATTGGAGTGCGGCTCTGCCATCCCTTTATGAAGTCACAAAATATGCCATGCGAAGACTTCAAGCTGTTTATGTACTCTCATCTTTAATGTGTTGGGGGTAAATTTAAAATAAAATTTTTATGATAAATACCCGGTTTTGCGCGAGATCGACTTGTTTCCTCTCGATCTACTAGAATTGCGCAAATAATTTTCCGCACTTTTCTACATCTTTCTATGCAAGATCTTTCATGATTCGTTTCGTACGATTCTGGAATCAGCTCCCACCTGCGGTGTATTTCGCCGGATGTTTGAAAACTTTGCAGAGCTATTGGAGGTTAACGATTTATTTTTTGATGCTATATGACGATACTGCTGGTAGCGTAGCCCGACGTCAAGGCAGTGGATGGAAGATAACAGCAACATAGTCAGAAATGGTTCGAAAAGTAAAGAAGCGACTTATCGAAATCCGCGTCGCAGTGGCCGAAAAATGGCTCGTGAGCTGAACATTTTGCAATATTCCGTTCGGCAAATATTGAAAAATGACCTCGGGATAAAGACAATAAAATTCCAAAAAATGCAAGAACTTACACCGCAATGGAAAGAAAATAGACTCAAAAGAGCTAAAGAGTTGCTTCGTTTGGCCGAAAGTGGTGAACTGCCGATTTTGGTTTTCTCCGTTGAGAAAACATTCGTTGTCCCGCAGTTTGTAAACAAACAAAGAGGTCAGCTGAAAATGTGCACCTTTGGTTGGCCACCAGAACTCATGCGCAGGCCATGGTGATGGTGTGTGCCGCCATAACAGTCGATGGTCCCTCTCCGCTCGTATTAATCGACCGTGGCATCAGAATAAATGCCGAATATCATCGCGAAAATATTCTGGAGGATGTATTTAACCCAAGGCTTTAACGCAAACATTTTGTCCGCAGACCTTGGGCATTCCAACAGGACTCAGCACCATCGCACTCAGCACGCGCCACCCAAGAATGGGTGCAAAATGAGGTTCCTTGCTTCATTTCCAACGCACAATGGCCACCAAAATCAACCAATTCGAACAAATCTAAACTTATTCTAAAATTTGATGCTATTTCCGAAATTTGTTGCTTTCATGCAATAAATTTTAAAAAAAAAATGTAGAAATTATGGCGTTTGACTTTGTTGCAGTTCTTTTTTTTATCTCACCCTACAAATGCCAAGTTGAAAGGAAGACCCTTGGTGTAACCCATGAGATTTCAAAAAGATACGCTCATGTGGCAAGATTGAAATTGTTCTGTTCAACTGTTTCAAAATTTCAATGAGGTGATCTCGCCACAATTTCTTCATACTCTCCCTGACTAACCTATTCAACTGAACCGTCCGTTTCGTGAGTCTACGATGAACTCACGTAGGTTATCACAATCATTCGTTATTTTCACTGGCGCCCTTTGGCCTGATATCGAGTATGAGCCACTTAATATAATATAAACACTTCAGGTGATTTAGTCACCAATTACGCTTATGCTCTGGGAACTAAATGTAAGTTAATGTAATACGTTGCAAATTCAATAACGTGGTAGGCTGCAATTGAGTCTCGAAAAATTCTATACGATTCATAAAATCCACTATTTTACTTAGCAGTTCGTTGAAGATTCAGGAGTCTGATATTGAAGTTGTTGTTGGCGATGTTCCATATTTTATGCCATTTTGATTACCAGCAATTTAATTGACTTGTGAATTCTGCTATAGAGCAATAAAAGTGCCTCAGAAATAAACCTAAGCAAATATGTTAGGGTATGTGAACACGCTTTCGTGTTTACCTTTTCAATGCGCTTTGTCGTAGCGAAGATTCTGGGTGAGATGCAGTAGTATGTTATACCAGCCCCCAGCCCCATCAGATAGTGTCATACCAAATCTGATGTTGTGGCAAAATGAAAACGCCAAGAAATTATTGATGGTCAACATGAACCTATTAAAGACATGAAATGTGCAACGGACTTATTTTTATACTAAAAACAAAAGAGACACAACACAAATAATAACAAATTACATTAACAATTGACGTTGACGTCGTCAACTGAAAACACAAGCTATTCTCCTGACACGGTGAATCAACTGGTGGTTGTAGCAATTGCACACATCATGCAAAGTGCAATACATACCACCAAGATTGGCACTGATAGCCCCCACCGCGGATGAACTTCTCTTTTCCCACTTACATGCATAACATATGTCAGTATGTATATTCTTTATCGATATTTTCTACTGTGACGTTAAATGGAACAATGCCAAAAATATTGCATCAAATTTAGTGGGTGACAAGGGGCTATGGATGATGTGTTTCCATTTGCCACACACAGAAAACTTTAATGGGAACATGTCAAACTGTGCGTACAAGAGATGTTTTTGTTTTTTTATTGTTTTATTTATAGACGTTTTGTACTTTTATTTACTCACCTGATATTAGTCTTTCACTAATTGTATTGTTTTATTGAATTTATAGTAGTCGGGGTGGGTGTTCCGTTGAATGTGTCCTTTAGTTCTGCCAAGCTTTTTTTGTTTTTACCGGCTTTTTAGGGATTCATAAGTCGGTTTTCGCTGCATCAATTGAATTGATATTTTTATTGTTTATTTATATATGATATGTGCCCTTATGTACTCACCTGATATTGTTATTTCACTAATTTTCCTGGGTCTAAATTATGTTATTTATTTTTTTATTTAACTGATAGTAGTTTTTTGTGTACCGTTGTATGTGTCCTTTATCTTTTTATTCTAGGGATAAGTAGGTCGATTTTCGCCCTATCATATATTCGAATAACGAAATAAAGAAGATGAAGAAATCAAATACAAAAAACGCAATTCACATGTGTAAAGTCTGTCTGATGATGGATATTGCATTTTTGACCACTAATTACTGAACGAATTTTTCACATATCATTTTGAAAGCTTAATGTTAGATATGAAAATTTATAAAAATATTGTCATAACATGTTACAATAAGAAGTTAGAAAAGCTTCGTAAAACTAGAGAAACACATCTTGAGGCTATGTCCGCTTCCTGCCAGAATTATTAAACAAGTCGCTTTCATTTATTCGATAATTTTCCTCACTTCTAAAATGAATTAAACTGCGCGAAAATAATTGTAATGCCTTGCTTTTCTTTCAAAAATATGATATATATGGTTCAATCTTTCAATTCCATGGCAAAACTGGTCAGTAGCGCGCCCGTAATTTAAGTTTCTTCCAATCATTGATTTCGAAAATATTTTGATTTTATTTTTCAAAATAATAAATGCATACATTTTTGTCCTATGGTCCTTTGTTCATTTCCGAAGAAGCCAGCCAATGACTTAAGTCAGTCAGAGAATCGTTTTATGAATTCTCTTCTTAAGATCCACATTGTTTGAATTACAATTTGTTTCTTATGGCATGCAATAACCGCGATTTTCAAATTACAAACAATTCGCATTTTTGACCACTAATTACTATTAAGAATTTTTCAAATTTAATTTTGAAAGCTGAATGTTGGCCATGGTATAATTATTATAGTTAGAAGCAAACCCCAGCTGGTTTAACTATATAGTAATACTAGTGTCAAATTCGATATGCCGTTTTGTGATTTCATTTCATTTCTTGATATACAATAAGTATGCCCTTTTTATACCCTCCACGATAGTATGGAGGGTATATTAAGTTTGTCATCCCCCGTAACACCTCGAAATATACATTTTAGACCCCACAAAGTATATATAATATAATATAATATAATATAATATAATATAATATAATATAATATAATATAATATAATATAATATAATATAATATAATATAATATAATATAATATAATATAATATAATATAATATAATATAATATAATATAATATAATATAATATAATATAATATAATATAGTATAGTATAATATAATATAATATAATATAATATAATATAATATAATATAATATAACAAAATGAAGTAAGTTGATAAAAATTTACTCAAATGCATATTATGTCTGCAGGACTTACGGTATTGAAAATGGGCAATGTAGGTCCACGTCTTCGTATAGGCCCCATATAACGGTACCTCCCGATATTGAGTATTTACCGGAACTATTTCAAATTTGGTATTTGAAGTTCGTAATTCAAGAATTTAATTTTATTTTTTTGAAAATTGCCAAATTTGAACCAAATGGTGGAGGGTTCGTTCGGAAATGAACGAAGGAGCCTAGTTTGTTCCTCCTTTATTCCTCTACGAAGAAGCCTGCCAATGACATAAGCCAGCCAAATAAGCGCTTTATGTATTCCCACCTTTACAGTTTTTTTTTACTTGTTGATATAATATTTCACTGCAGGACAATGAAAACACATTTTTTGTCTAATAGCATGTTTCCATTGGAAACCGAACAACGTTGTTCGCTCTCAGAATTAGGTACACGAATTAACCCGTTCATACGGCACGATTCGTAATTTATAGTAAAGTAATTCCTTTTTTCAAAAATTTTGTTTGTGGATTTTAATGGGAATTTATACGAAAATACATGAAATTCTCACTAATATGAATAGAAGAAATTATTGTTTTCCTCCCAAAGATTTATTATATCATTAATTTTACAATTTTCATTCAAGTTTTCAGCTTTTTGTGTAAATGTTGACATTTTGAACAAATTTTTGTGTTTTTCCATTTTTAATTTCTGCTGGAGAGACACTTGTCAAACATTTTTTCTGCCGATAGAAACATTTTGAAAATATTGCCTCTTTTGTTTGCAGTTGTCTGTGGAAAATTTAACTCGTGGACCAAATGCGTACCTCGAATGAGAGAGAAAACAAAATTTCCTTTCGTTTGAATGTACATACGCCATTCAACATTGTAGTTTTCATTCATAATTTTCAGTCTTCCCAAAAATTTTTAAATTTCATCAATTTTTTCTATTTTTAATTGTTAAATGTCATAATCTATTTTTTCGATAAATGCCCTCATTTGTTAGGGATGGGACATATTTTTTCGTTGTTCTGAGAGTGATTTGATTTGAACAACTTACAAATATGAGTGTTCGCTCAGGAAATTTTGTGTGAAGAATTAGGTAGTTTTTTCATAGTTAAGGGTCGAACAACGAATAGAGAGCGAATCAAGTGCAGTGGAAACGCCACATAATGACCGAAAAATTCTCTGTTATACTTAACAAAACGCCAACGGCGGTGGTGTGGAAACTCTTTTCGCGGTTAAGGAATGGTGACACTACATTAGGTAATATAGTGCATATTTCATGTTTCCTAAAATTGAAAAGTGTGGAATACTTTATGTATGAATGCAATTTGGTTTCAATTTAAAACGGTTGTTGCTTTTTACACGATTGCTTGAAGCCTTGAGATTTGGACCTACAGCTAAGAACTAAACGTTCATGGGAATGATCTGAAAGTATTAAAATTACATATTTTAAGAACTATTTTTCTGCATTTTAAATTTAATAATACAAATTCTAAAAATATTTTAAAATAGAATAATTTATTGAAAATTAATTTTTTCTTCACATTTTTGGACATATAACTCTGACACGATTACGTACAAAAACAAATTTGTGTGTGGTTGTTGTTACGTTTGTTGTACAACCACACTTGCTGTTACCTGCAATATTCTACCATGAATATTGGCTATGAAAATTTATACAAATTGTATGTCATTAGTTTGCACAAGATAGCCTTAAAAAATAAATAAAAAAGAGTTTCAAAATTGGTAAATTAATCTTGCAATCATGGTACAATGATATAAATGTAACCTCATTTCAAATTAGCATTCCCAGCTCTGCATTTTCTGTAATTTTCCTTTTCAAATTTTAAGGTATAAAAAACAGTTCCCATCTCCGATTTTGTATGTATACAATAAATTTATGAATATAGATTTTGACAATAAGATGTTGTCAAATGTATAAATTTGAAAAAAAATTAAACATATGATTACATGTCTTTACCTTCATAGTTCTACCATGCTTGCAATTGTAGATCTAATGTAAATAAAACGACATTTTTGCTGGATTTATCAGTCCTGGGCCTCAATTCTTGTTCTATAAAAATAGTTGTGTTCCAGAACCTGCAAATTAGTACTAATTAGCACTAATTATGCTACAACGCGTTCCCGTACTCCAAAAACTAGCAAAACTTGCAGCTCTCTCGAGAAAAAAATGGCGCTGTAAATGTTCAGTAAACTGTAAACGTACTATTAACTCGGTAAAAAATGTGTTATATATTTTATGATTTAAAAAAATCAGTATCATTCCAATTATTAAAAACGCTACAATTAATTCCGTATTGACAACACTCAATCAAATGTCAAAATGTCACTTTGTGGAACTTGTGTTTTGTGGTGCTAGTTTCGCACTCTTTTAGAGAATGTGTTCTGTTTTCCTCATGTCTCATTCGTAAACAACAGATGTCCCTCGGGTTATGCATTACACTCATTCGTAAACAACAGTATTATCAAGTATTCCTTTTTGGCCTTTAAATTCGTTTCGGTGGGAACTACTTTCATTTTGGTTTCCCACGCGCCTCTTCGCCCAAGTCCATAATCGAGTTCCAGAACTTTGAGTACTAAAGGTCGGTTATTCGATTAATCGGAAGTCGACTTAACTATCCCTAGTCCGTCTTTTAAATAACTGCCGCTGGCTTCAGGGACTTTCTCACGGAAACCCAAGAAGGAGTTACAGGAAATCGCCACAAAACAAGAATAACTAGGGTAACAAAGAAATTTACCAAATATGGGAGACATAGACTATCCAAATTTGGAGAGTATATGCCGCTTGTGTTTGAAAGAAGATGCTGGAATCGTTTCCATTTTTCCTCTCCCCGAGGTTAAACTTGAAAAGAATTCAGTCCATATATCTATTCCAATGCGTATAATGTCCTGTGTTGCACTTGAGGTACAATCGCACGATGGCTTACCAGCAAAGATATGCCCAGAGTGTCGTTATCATTTGGAGAAATTCTATTTGTTTCGCAAACAAAGCCAAGCCTCGGACTCCAAATTAAGGAAGCATATACGTCTTCTCAGTTTGGGTAAAAAGAGCAAAGTTTTCAAAAAGGCTACTGATGATGATGACGACGATGACGAGTTGGAATTCCAGGATTCTATAGATTTCATAAAAGACCACGAGGACAAATTGAAAGCTGATGAAGAATCAAAACTCCAACGTTTAAAAGATGAAATGAAATTAGAAAAAGAGGCCGAATTGGAGCGATGTAAGGCAGATATGAAGATTAAATGTCGTGAAGAAGTTAAGAAGGAAGTTGAGCAGTTGGTGAGAAAGGAGTTGCAGCAGGAAATGCAAAAAGAACTCAATGAAAGTATTATGCCAAAGATACGTAATGAATGTTTACAGAAAGCTAGAGAATCTCTACGCGAAGAAGTACGAGAAGAGTGTCGTGAAATAGAAATGAAAACGCTTTTAGATGACCTGCAGGTGTTTCTTAAGGAACGTCAAGGAGCACAAACAAAAACGACTACGGTAAATTCTCAATTCGCAGCAAGTAGTGAAGAGCCTGGAACCAAACGACCTCGTCTTTCAACCAATACAAGCACAATACAACTCATACAAATTGGCAATTCCACAACAAAACCAATAAATATATTTACAACAAACCAACAAATTCAGCGGCAACAGGATAAAATGCCAACAAGTGTTAAAACTCAATCGATTTTAAATGAAATTAACTCAGATATGGATATAAATGTCAATGGCGACGACAATGAAATGGAGGACGAAGAGGAGAATGATTGTGATAGTGATAATTTCTTTATATATGACACAGATGAGGGATTTGAATTACAAAAGAAGTCCACCATGTCTCAAGCTAGTGATGACGATTTAATATTGTCTCAAGAATCTGGACAAACTTACGATAGTGCCGATGATAATTTAGAAACACAGGGAAATAAACCGCCCAAGACTTTAGAACCGATAACAACAACGTCATATAGGAGTAAGTGAAGATGAATACTAATTTCTTTATATAAATTTTGGTATTTTTGTATTATAATATTAATAAAAAATGGTTTAAACGGTTGTTAAAATTTTTTTGTTCTACATTTTAGAATCTTCAATAGAAATGCCAGTATAAACGGTTATAATACCAAGATATGGCCTGATATACAATAATTTAAGTAGAAAGTTTGTAGATAAACTTTGTTCTGCACTATAGGAAAACCTGTGGTGGTATTCTATCTGCCACAGAAATTAATTGTAGACCAACCTCTAACAACAAATATACATTAGCTTTACAAGGTAATTTTATTATCCGAGTTATTTATAGGGTATCCTATGTGCAGAAGGTCTCCATTTCTGTAAAAGTTTCAATATATAGGAGCACTATACGAGGTTTTTTAACAGGAGGATGACATTAGCTATTTAAGAACACATATACGTTACTAAGAAGTTATTTTAAGTGGGCAGAACCCCTTGGCATGGTGAGGTTACAAATCATAATGGTACTACCAAACGCTTTCGAACAAATCCTTCATAAAAACCAATACGTGTATAAAAGTTGCCGACAGTGTAAAAATGCTGATAAAAACGATTTCCCACTTTTTTTCTAAAACAAAAACCTAAGAACTTAGAATTTTCAGTGCTAAAAAAGTACAATATTTAATACAAACGGAACAAATCCATATCTCAAAACTGCCTCATACCTTCCTTTCAAAATGGTTTAGCTAGAAGTCTTATTACCAAGTTCAAACAACTATTTCTTCTAGTTTAATTTAATTTTTTAACACCCATTTATTATATGTTACATTTAACACTATTTTATTTTTAGTTGAAGATTCTCAAAATGGTGAAATAAAGTTTTTGAAAAAATCCGGCGATGATATTGTGTTATCAGAAAATAATATTGATGATAACAATGTCCAGCTGCAGAATGCAAACATAATGATTTTGGACTATCCCACGGAAGATGGCGAGGAGGAAGAGCATTTAGAATTGATTGATTGTGGCGAAGATTATATCAACAAGAATATGGTAAATAGATTTTCTTTGGCCAGCAAAAGTTTTGCATTTATGTATATTTTATTTGCTTCAACAGAAACCAATTATTTTGAAAACCCAGACAATAAAGACCAGCCAACCAATAGAGGAAAGTGATATTTCCACAAATGGACAACAACAATTTACATCAGCTACTGTGGAAACGACCACAACCACTACAACACTAATGTCGAAAACCTATACCCTACAACGTCAGACAGATACACCAAAAACATTCAAATGCAACAGTTGTCCCATGGTGTTTTCAACAAATACCTCACTGGAACGACATTTACGGACACATCGAAAAGGTGAAGAAACTGGTGTTTCATTTCAGTGTCCCGAATGTCAGGTTGTAGTGTCCTGTGCCAGCGCTTTGCGACGACACATGTACGTCCATTGTGAGGAGAAACCTTTTATTTGTTCCGAGTGCGGCCGGTCATTTGTTCAAAAGGAAATACTCAAACGTCATATGCAGACACATACCGGCGTTAAACCGTATCAATGTGAACACTGTGATCGTTCGTTTGCTCAACGTATTAACTTGAAACAGCATATTAATAGACATCACACAGATGAACCACAAATTCAACAACATTCCTGTCATTTGTGCCCAAAGCGTTTTAATCATGCATCAGGATTGAGTCGCCATTTGGCCTCGCATAGTGGTGTGGCATTTCAGTGCTCCGAATGTGATCGTACCTTTGGTGATCGTTCGTCCATCAAGCGACACATTGCCAATAAACATGGTGGTGGTGTTTTCAAAGAACCAAAGTTGGAGAAAGATTAATCTTATTTTTTAGGAATTTTTAATTTGTAGTATTCATATATATTTTTCCAGTACAAATATATGCTGTAGTTTTACAATTTTCTTTTAATAACTTCACTGCATTTTTTATTGTGACCAGGGTTGGGCATATTGCACTAAATTTTTAGTGCACTAAGAATCAAATAATTAGTGGTAGTGCAATTTTTAACTCCACTACCACTAAAGGGTTAGTGGTAGTGAAAAATAAATTGCACTACCACTAACCCTTTAGTGATAGTTAAAAAAAATTGCACTACCACTAAATTTTAGTGGTAGTGAAATTTTAATACCACTACCACTAAATTTAGTGATTTTTCAAAAAAAATTTGCACTACCACTAAAATTTGGCGAAGCCAAAAAAAGCACTATGTATATAAATATTATACCAGCTATAATGAAGTTTATTGAAGTGAGTAGGGAACAACAATCCAGAATATATAGTACATATTCATAAAATTTGATTACTTTTCTAAGTAGCACTAATTTAGTGCTATTTTTTATGAAATACCACTAATTTAGTGCAAGTTTTTTCAAATACCACTAAATTTAGTGGTAGTGCTATTGAAATTTCACTACCACTAAAATTTAGTGGTAGTGCAATTTTTTTTTAAATATCACTAAAGGGTTAGTGGTAGTGCAATTTATTTTTCACTACCACTAACCCTTTAGTGGTAGTGGAGTTAAAAATTGCACTACCACTAAATGAACAATGATAGTGAAATTATTAGTGCACTAAAAATACAGTGCATTATGCCCATCTCTGATTGTGACTAACTTCAGATGCTTTCATATCTCGCTGGAAGTCTTCTTGTACTTTTGTTTCACTGCAACAATTCTTATTACAAATCGGATTACAAACAAATATTTTTGTAACTATATCTGTTGTGTTTTAAGATTGAGACGATGCCAATATATTGATAACAAGTAAAAAAGCTGTAAGTTCGGCCGGGCCGAACTTTGAATATCCTCCACGATTTGGAACGAATTAGGAAATTTTCAAACAAATAAAATCCATTAAAAATTCTGTTAAAATCTTAAAAATACCGAATGTAGCTGTTATATTAGGGTCTTTATGGCGACATGGACCAGCATGGGTAACTTTTGTCATAAGCCATTTTAGTATCCTAATGCGAAACTTAAAAAATAGGAAATAATGTAGCTGAAATCAAAATACCGAATATCGGGAGGTACCGTTATATGGGGGCTATACGAAAACGTGGGCCTGCATAGGCTGTAGTATCCATTACGAATTTCAAATACCAAATTTAAAACAATTCTGATGAATATTGTCGCTAAAATCATAATAATACCGAATATCGGGAGGTACCGTTATATGGCCCATTTTCAATACCAAACGTTCTGCAGACATAATCTACATTTGAGTAAAATTTTATCAATCTTCTTCCATTCGTTCGGAAGCTAGAGTAATTTCCACAGACGGACGGACATCGCTAAATCAACATAGAATTTTATGCTGATCAAGAATATATACTTTGTGAGGTCTAAAATGTATATTTCGAAGTGTTACAAATTGAATGACAAACTTAATATACCCTCTATACTATGGTGGAGGGTATAAAAAGGATAATCGATTTTAATGTAATGTAATTGTTTATATTACACTTTTAGGACATCGACTTTAATACTTGCGGAGATTTTGGGAAAAATTAAAGTCAGAATTTCCATTATAAATTCTAAGTCTTTACATGAAAGTACTCAATTAACTGTTGGTTATGGAGCCCTCTTATTAATTCAATTAAATGAAACCAATAGAACTCAATATGATTTGATGGTTTAACAAAACCAGTATATTTTGTTTAAATTAATTACTAGTTGCATACAGAGTTTTTTCACTTAATTTGCGTCAATAATGTATAGCTCAACAAAATGTAATAACAAGTAATAGAAATTTCTTTTACAAAAATACAATTTTTATATACCAATTTGTTTTCAAATATAATAAAATCGGAAAATTATGAGCAAAAAAATACAAAAATACAGAAAGAAAAACAATTGCTTGACTTTTTACTTAAATTATCTCATTTAATAAATAATATTTAGGCTTTTAATAAAATCAATTATAATAGCAATAATAATAAGGATAAATGTTTTTTTCTTTTAATAATAGTTATAAAAAATTCACAATATTTAACATTGATTATGATTACAATAGCTCTTAATAAAAGCACCTCATATCTTCGTAATTATGAATGCAATTGATATTTATATATATATATTTTATGCCTGTGGATGTGTATAAGTTATTGGTATGTATGTATATTGTATGAGAGTATAACAGTATGACTGATATATTTCAAAGGACTTATGCTTTGCTTCTTCTATTCTTTTTTTTTACTTTGAAAATTTAAATACAATTAACAAATATTTATGTATAAATAACACGTACAATACAAAAAACGGAAACGAAAAGAAGTTACAACTAAGAAAAACAATAAATAGTAAAAACATTTGATGGGGGCTTTTTTCTAATTCTCTTAATTTCATTAAGATATTGGGGGTCTTTTGTTGTTGTGACATCAATCCGAATTGGTCATGGAAGAACGTTGAGATTCCAGTGTATTTGAATCGTTACGATTCCGCAACATACGCGGTTGACTGGATGTAAAATTTGAAAAATCCTTCATAACATCTTTATAGGTTTCATCTTCGCCATTACCTTCATCGTTCAATCCAATTTCATCATTTAAACGTGTTAAACGTAAACTGAAATGAGTAAATAAATACAATTTTTACAAAATAATAATGAGGTATTGAAGTATCTAGTTTTCCTAGTGTTATACTGAACGAAAAAATATATAGTGGATAACTATAGTATATATATGTGAGAACTATATATTATTTTGAGCGTAGAAAAGTCATGTCTATTATATCTTGTACAGGGTGAGATAAAAACAACTGCAACAAAGTCAAACGCCAAAATTGTTAAATTTTTTCTTTTAAATCAATGGCATCAAATTTTAGAATAAGTTTAGATTTGTTCGAATTAGTCACTCTTGGCACGAATTATGGCTTTCACACTGTAACACGCTGCCCGAATTTTGCTCTGCGGTATTTTGGCCCGTTCCCGGCGAAGCGCTTGCTTGAGGTGATCGACACTTTGGTATATTTTAGTGCAAACCTTGCTTTCCAAAATATTCCAGACAGTCCAACGGATTGGTATCCGGAGATTTTGGTGGCCATTGTGCGCTGGAAATGGAGCGAGAAACCTCTATTTTTAACCATTCTTGGGTGGCGCGTGCTGAGTGCGATAGTGCCGAGTCCTATTGGAATGTCCAAAGTCTGCGGCCAAAAGGTTTTGCGTGTTCAAGGCTTTAATACACCCTACAGAATATTTTCGCAATAATATTCGGCATTTATTCTGATGCCACGGTCGATTAATACGAGCGGAGAGCGACCATCGGCTGTTATGGCGGCCCACACAATCATGGCCGGCGCTTGAGTTCTGGTGACCAACCTAAGGTGGACATTTTCATGTGACCTCTTTGGCAAGTAAACACGATCATTTTGTTCGTTTACTAACTGCGGGACAACGAATGTTTTCTCATTGGAGAAAATCAAATTCGGCAGTTCACACTTTCGGCCAACTCTTTGCAATTTCGAATCTTTTTTCTTTCCGTTGTGGTGTAAGTTCTTGCACTTATTGGAATTTCAATGGCTTTACCCCGAGCTCATTTTTCAATGTTTGCCGAATGGAATATTGCGAAATGTTCAGCTCACGAGCGATTTTTCGGCGACTGCGACGCGGGTTTCGATCAAATCGCCCCTTTACTTTTCGAACCATTTCTGCTGATGTTGCTGTTTTTTTTTTTCGTCCACTTCCTTGACGTCGGGCTATGCTACCAGTATCACGGTAACGAGCGATGGTACGAGACATTAAAGATTTATTCACATTTAAATGCTGGAGTGCTCTAACGATAGCTACTTGTGGTTTCCAACCAAATATAAAGAAACCACACTATCACGCTTGAATTCTATCACGATTAACTTTTTTCTGGAAAATTCTCACTAAAATGCTTTTGTACGCTCGTAAACAATATAATAAGCTGTTACTAGAATAATTTTAACAGTGTCTTGGGCGAGTGGCTTGGTGTTGACAGCAGTCTGAACTTAGTTGCAGTTTTTTCATGTCACCCTGCATGTGAGAACTATATACTATTTTGAGGGTAGAAAAGTCATATTTCTTATATCTTGTATATGAAGACCACAGAATCTAGACATACTTGTGAAATACTGGTTAGTTTAATATTTGAAAGAGAAGAAGAAAATGGAGAGGATCAAGTGCCTGACCCGCTGCCACCATCTTTCTCTTTTTATTTCAAACTTTTACTTATGGAACCCTCGGAATTGGTATTTTCAAAAGCATTGTGTGATACTGGAAAGGCCTGATGAATGTGTCTCTTTACTTTATGCATTATCAACTGTTCATAATTTGTACAATCCCGTCTGATTTATCTCCTATCTTTATATATAACTTTTTCGAATAAAATGAGCCGCTAATCTACTGGTTTATAATGACTGACATCCAAAACATAACCTAGTATTTATACAGATACAATCCTATTATATATTACTGTGTTATGCAGTACACCTTTTGTTAAAGTGCCTGTCCAAGGTCGGGTAAAACTCGCATTGTTCCAGTTCAAATATTTCTACTATAATTTTTCTTTCATATTCGTTTTTATTTAAATAGCAGTGTTCCAGTAAAAAAAAAACAAAACGAATGTCGTATTTATAAACAATTATAAATACGTGCGGGGGCCGACCATGTGATACCCTACAACACTACAATATGTTAGAAGTCCCCTTATGCCCAAATCCATTTTGGAAGATATCGCTTTTGAAATTATGTCACGGAGCACTGCCCAAATATTACTAACATTTTGACCAGGGACATTTAGTTATAGTGGTCCATTTAACAGCTAAATATAATCCAATGACCATACATAATGCTAGACTTCTTCCCTGTCCCTAACTTTCTCCTCAGGCGTGTCGATTGGCTTCAATTGTGTGATCAGGAAATTTTCCCTGGTTTTGAATATTGTGCGATCGTCTCCAAAAGCAAGAGGTCCCTCTGTATTTCTAAATTTAGACTCATCTATATGATTTGCTTGTCTAGGATATTTAGCTATATTCGTCAACGAAATCAGCAAAAAAGGGAGACGTTCGCATTTTGTGTATTTCGAATATCGCCTGTAAGTAATGTTGGTATTTTTCAGACAAAAGTTGTGGTTCATTCTACCCGCTGTCCTAAACTCTAACTTCATGAAAGATTTCGTGTCCATTAGTTTCTATTTGTGACCTTTATAACGGCTGCAAAATCTGGAACATTTTAGTTGTTGGTCCATTTTAACCCCTAAATATATTGCGGACATATTTGAAAACTATAGGCCTAGCCCTTCTGAGCCTAACCCTACCCTTTTTGTGAGGATCTGACGATAATTTCAATCTGTATATAATATCCCAAACCTGTGTTGTAAGGTGGAAAAATATTACAAAATGTATACCTTAATATTATAAGTCAAATTGAAAAAATCGCATGCGATAAAAAATATGAAAAAATAAAAAAATGTCACAAAATACTACAAAATCTATATTAACATCATTTTTGACTTATTTTTATGCGATTTTTTTAGATTTTTTACTTTTATGTCAAGAGCGCGTTCTGAATTGGCAATATTTGTCAAAATCGGTCCAGCCATTCTTGAGATATAAGCATTTCATCTAACATTCCTTTCCTTTGTATATACACATTGTATATATTTCGCTATATATATCCGATATATTTACTATCGGCATCTACGTAACGGTCAGAATTGACCTGTTCGTCTATTTATGATTTCGCCGGGACTAAAAATATTCGCGGTTTAATGGAAATTTGACTTTTATTTAACACAAATGTATAGTCTTTTTCACCCACTAAATATTACCCGATGACCATCAAAATTGTAAGGCTTCTGCCCAGCCCGAAGCTCTAGCCCATTGCTAATTTCCGCTTCGATTGGTCCATAATTGCGACCTGTAGAGCAACTGCAAAATCAAGAAATTTTTTAGTTTTTGGTCCATTTCGACCCCTAAATATTATGCGATCATCTCCAAAAGAAAAGGTTCTATTCTGACCTTAATCCCACCTCCATTCTAAATTTAGTGAAAATCGGGCCATAATTGCGACGTGTAGAGTGATTACAAATTAACATGGACAGACGGACAGACGGACGGAGGGACATACATAGCTAGATCGACTCAACTCGGCGAAATAGGAAGATCCATATATACTTTCCTATGTGGGAAATCAATATTTCGAGGTGTTACATAATTTTTGGCCCAATCAAACTTATAATACCCCCAACACAAAGTGTTGTAGGGTATAAAAAGCCCTTAAAAAATGATTTAATGGGTTCTATCGTATATGTACCAAAGAAATAAAAAGTTTCTCCTGGCCTCCTCTTCACATTAGTTATTAAATTTAAACTCATTAAATTAGAAACATTTAAACGTATAATTCAAAGGGAATACGTGAAGATTTTACAACATTCCAAATACTTACAGTGTAACAATGTCAGCATTTCGTTGTTCAACAGCTATATCTAGAGGATTTTTACCATCATTGGCTTTAAGATCATATTTGGCTTTATGTTTAAGTAATAAATATACTTGGGCTATAAATCCCTTTTCCGTTGATTTATGTAAAGCACTATAACCATTATCGTCGACAACATCTATGGGTACGCCATTCAACAGCAGATATTCGCAAGCCATAACAGAACCCTGTCGTAAACAAAACAATATAAAATAATAATGTAGAAGATGAATATTAAAAAAAAACTTACCGACAACACCGCCTGATGTAAGTACGTCCGATTATGATCTTCAGAGTTGCGCCAATTTTTATCGGCTCCCAAGGCAAATGCCATACACATAACGGGTAAATTGTGTACAGCCGATGCCTGATATAGCATGAGATTCGCATCCAATTTGGAAAAGGGCACTTCATATATCACCTCTGGTTCATTTTCTCCCTCAGTCGATTCTTGATCAGAACCCAATATGCCAGGTGTTTCATAGGTTTCTAAACCTAAATCTTCACCAACTATTAAAAGATCTTCACGTGAAATACTCAATGACATTGATGGAATATTTATGGATTCATCATCATCGTCGTCATCTTCATCATCTATGACAGGATCATCGGATGATTTGGAGCTGGAACGTTGGCGTTTACGTTGACGATGGCGGCGACGTCTGAATTTCTTGACTGCCCATTTGCGTGTACTGCCTAGCGAAAGGGTGGCACGTTTACCAATATCATTGCCACCGCTATCAATGGATAAGACTTCGGCTGTTTCACTTGATAAATATTCCGGTGGCTTAGGCATGCCACACACAAAACGTTTTTCAACATATTTAGCTTTAATCCATGCTTCCCTAACAGCTATTTCACAATTTTCGGTGGCCGGTTTAAGCTCAGAGTTTTCACCAATACGTGCCTCGTATATACGATTTACTACAGCGTTACCCAGTTCCATCATTACTTTAACATTTTCCGTTTCCCAGGCATCCAGTGTTAATGAACGTACCTTACTGTAGTGTACACCAAGACTGCGATGCACTCCCGAACATTCAATACACAATGTTATGCCTAGATTAATGGAAGCCCACCGTGGATCGGTAGCACGACAATCACAACATAAAGAATTGCCAGGAATTTTTAAAAACTGTTCCCAATGACTGCAAAAGAATTAAAGAAAAATAAAATTGTTAGTAATTGTTTTTTTTTTAATAATCTTCGTTTTAGTTTTAGAATTTAAATATTTAAATTTTTATGACAGAAATGAGTTTAAACCATGGTACTTTAAGCATCCCAAGATTGCATGGGCATTGTTCCTGTTAAAACGCAACAGTTTACATCATAATAATAGCGCTTACTGGGGAAGTGTTCAAAATATGTCTGTTTTATCGAATATTCTCGTTTTGTTCGACATCGTTATCCGGGCCTCTAACCCTTACCTCGACTAGCGTTGCGCATCATACCTAGTTTTGAGGTAATGTTTGATGTAAATTCGTCTTAAAGCCGTTGTGCAAGATTGTGGGTCACGTTGAATAAAAAATGGATGGTATATTAACAATGTAATATAATTTATTTATTGAAGGTTATTCTATGCACGATTTTCTAACAAATCTTAGTTCTTATTAAGATTAATTTCACGTTCAGTTAGAAAGAGTTTAAAGAGCAGCACCAATTTTTGTAACAGTTGTAATTATAGGCACTATATAAGCTGCAAATGACACCATTTTACAGGGTGAGATGAAAAAACTGCAACCAACTTCATTTCTGTTCCAGTGAAAGCTCATTATATTGTTTACAAGCGTACAAAGGCATTTTGGTGAGAATATTTCAGAAAAAAAATTATTCGCGATGTTATTCATGCGTGAAAGTGTGATTCCTTTATATTTTGCTGGAAAACCACAAGTGGCTTTCGTTAGAGCACTCCAGCATTTATATGTGAATAAATCTTTTGTGTCTCGTACCATCGCTCGTTACCGTGATACTGGTAGCGTAGACCGATGTCAACAAAATGGACGGAAGAAAACAGCAACATCAGCAGAAATGGTTCGAAAAGTAAAGAAGCGACTTAATCGAAACCCGCGTCGTAGTGGCCGAGAATGGCTCGTGAGCTGAACAAATCGCAATGTTCAATTCGGCAAATATTAAAAATGAGCTCGGGGTAAAGCCATTAAAACTCCAAAAATTGCAAGAACTTACACCGCAACAGAAAGAAAATAGATTCAAAAGAGCTAAAGAGTTGCTTCGCTTGGCCGAAAGTGGTGAACTGCCGAATTTGTTTTTCTCCGAACAGAAAGCATTTGTTGTCCCGCAGTTCGCAAACAAACCAAATGAGAGGTCAGCTGAAAATGTGCAAACATTGGACATGCGCCACCCAAGAATGGTTACTTCGCTTCATTTCCAGCGCACAATGGCCACCAAAATCTCCTGATACCAATCCGTTGGACTATTGTGTCTGGAGTATTTTGGAAAGCAAATTTGGCACTAAAAAATACCAAAGTGTTGATCAGCTCAGGCAAGCGCTTCGCCGGGAATGGGCCAAAATATCGCAGAGCAACATTCGGGCAGCGTGTGACGATTTCATTGGCCGTTTGAAGGCCATAATTCGTGCCAAAGGTGACCAATTCGAAGTTATCTAAACTTATTCTAAAATTGGATGTTATTTCCGACATTTTTGCTTTCATTCAATAAATTAAAAAAATATATATAAAAACTATGGCGTTTGACTTTGTTGCAGTCTCACTCTGTAGACGTATAGAGGAACGTGATATTAAGAGTGAACTGAGACTCAAGGTCACAAGTCTAGCGCCGTTCACTGTATGCTCACTTTGAGATTAACAAACAATTTATGTAAAAATATGCACCAATGTACGAATTATATTGATTAGAATTTACCATTATCATCTATCGACCAAAAACCCCCAACATTACTTACACTTTTCTTTTTGCATTCTTTAATGGATTTGTATTCTGTGATGACTGAGGTCTGGAATGTTGTGGATCATGTTGTATAGCTGCACCAATACTTTTCTGTAACGCTGAAATCCACATAGCCAACATATCAGCTGAGTCAGCTTGCAAAACGTGAGACCTGAATGTTGATAACACACAAAGAAAAAGGAGAAACACAGAGGCAAACAAAAAATACAAACAAAAGTTAGACAAGCATCATTGGGTTAATTCGGAATATTTCAAAATATAAAAAGAAAACAAAAGCTCATCATGTATGAGTTGTGGATAACAACAAGAAACAAAAATATTACTTACTTTGTTGGTGATATGACTTCGAAACAAAATCGACGATCGCCATCGTTGACGGGACGTACTGTACATAGGCGTAAGTCTTCTTCCATCACAGAAAATGAATCCTCGTTGCTACGTTTTCTGCAATTCGAATCCAAATCACTTCAGCGTTACAACAACAACAACACAAGACAATTTCAATTCAAATCAACACAACACAACAACAACACAATAAAAAACATAAAAAGTATAAATGATTGGATTTTAGAAAATAAGAAATTAGAATAAATATTTAAAGTTTAGACAAGCAAAACAAGAAATTAAGTTCGTTTTTTTTAAGGACAGATCAATAACAATTAAAGCAATACGTTTTTTTTTTTGGTTAAACAAACAATAAATTCGGTAGACAGTTAACGACACATGAACGAAAGAAAACAAGAGAAAATATATATTTAAATTTTATGGTTAAGGAAAACATAGTGTTAAAAATATAAGTAAATAATAGGAGTAATCAAATTAAATATGACCTTTCGAACATGCCTAGAAAATTTATTTAATATTATTTATTTACTTTTTTCTTCAAATTTATTGTTTTCTTTATCTATTCTGTATGGTTCAAGAAATGGGCTTACTGTAATGAAACATTCTAAGATTTGACAAAAAAAAAACTTTGAAATTTAACAACATGAAATATATTTTTTAGATATAAATTTCCAAACTAAATTTTCATAACAAGTTAGTGAAACAAATAATTTGGAAAATATGAGAGATAAAGAAAAGTTTAATACATATTCCCCAAGGGTTTCTTCTGTAATTTTAAGCGCTTGCAAATCATTTCTTTACCTAAAATGAATTTCATTTTGAAAAGGTTGCGAAACAGAGTAGGCATTCTTATTTACTTGGCAGGATTTTATCTCTTTCAAATCCACCAATGTTTGTTTACAATAAGCCCATATTTGGTAATTTTTTTTTTTTAATTTTTTCGTTATCAACGCACCTGTACACCAACTGATTGTCACTCAAATAAAACCACCGTCGACACCATGTTTTGAATCCTTTGGATTTCTTCTTAAAGAGATAACCTTCAATCTTATTGGAAGTACTATTCGTGTTTGTATCACTAAAACTATTCACACTCATGTGACGATTTTGCATGTCTTTTTCTAGTTTTTGGTATTCACCGCGCATTGCATTCAAGTCATCTGTGAAACTTTTAAACAGTTCATCGTAGTCGTGGCACAAATCGAAACCTTGATGATAATATGTAACGCAAGCTTGATAATAATCCAGTAACTGAAAATATTAAAAGAAAAAATTGTTACTTATTTTATTATAGTTACTTATTATAAACAAATTAGAAACATATTATGTTTCTATAATCAAACAGGTTTATATGAGACTCATACTAAACATAAACAAGTACAAGCAGTAAGGATAGGTCAAAAGCCGGGCGGGGCCGAATATATGATACCCTACACCACTATGTAGTAGAGCTCCCTTAACAAAAATCAATAGAAATACCGGACCGTGTTTCACGAAATGGAAAAATTCGGTTGAATATGAAAAAATCTATCCAATTTGGGCTGAGATAAAAAATTGCAACAAAGTCAAACGCCATAATTTTTACATTTTTTTAAATTTTATTGATTGAAACCAAAAATGTCGGAAATAACATCAAATTTTAGAATAAGTTTATATTTGTTCGAATTGGTCACCCTTGGCACGAATTATGGCCTCCAAACGGCCAATGAAAACGTCACACGCTGCTCTAATGTTGCTCTGTGGTATTTGGGTCCATTCCCGGCAATGCGCTTGCTTGAAGTGATCGACCCTTTTGTATTTTTTAGTGCCAACCTTGCTTTCCAAAATACTCCAGACATAATAATTCAACGGATTGGTATCTGGAGATTTTGTTGGCCATTGTGCGCTGGAAATGAAGCGAGAAACCCCATTTTTTAACCATTCTTAGATGGCACGTGCTGAGTGCGATGGTGCTGAGTCCTGTTGGAATGTCCAAGGTCTGCGGGCAAAATGTTTGCGTGCCCATGGCTTTAATACACCATCCAGAATAATTTCGCGACAATATTCTTCACGGTCATTTAATACGATGATGTCACGGTCGATTAATACCAGTGGAGAGCGATCATCGGCTGTTATGGCGGTCCACACCATCACCATGGCCGGTTCTTGAGTTCTGGTGGCCAACCGAAGGTGCACATTTTCAGCTGACCTCTTTGGCAAGTAAACATGATCATTTTGTTTGTTTACAAACTGCTGGACAACGAATGTTTTTTCATCGGAGAAACCGAGCCATTTTTCGGCCACTGCGACGCGGGTTTCGATCAAGTCGCTTCTTTACTTTTCAAACCATTTGTGCTGATGTTGCTGTTTTCTTCCGTCCACTTCCTTGACGTCGGGCTACACTACCATTATCACGACAACGAGCGATGGTACGAGACACAAAAGGTTTAAGTGCTGGAGTGCTCTGACGATAGCCACTTGTGGTTTTCCAGCCAAATATACAGAAATCACACTATCGCGCTTGAATTCCATCACGAATAATTTTTTTTCTGGAAAATTCCTACCAAATGTGGTGGTACCTTTATTTGGTAGGTATACCAACGAGTGAATATTTTTTAACAATTTTTTGCAGGAAGGTATGTATTGTATTCAGGATCCAAAATGTCAAATTACATCAAAATCTGTTGAAAATGTTTACCAATATCATGAAAAATACCTGAAATGGGGGTAGGGTTTTAGGGAGCTAAAACAAAGACATGTTCAATGTTGACAATTATTGGCACATCGATTTGTTAACCCATCCCAAACAAGAATGTAAAACGTCAGCAAAATCGAAAACATTCGATAAAAACACTTTCTATTTTTTAATTTTTTCAATTAAAAATGTATATAAAATCCATGGTACAATGAAGAGAAGGTAGGTCAACTTTGAAAAAATTGCAAGTATAGAGGTCTACCTGTTTGGCTTGAAATGTCAGACTTAGTATCAAAACAATAAAAAATCAAACAACTTGTTGCATTTATTTTGAATAAATAATTGAAAAAAAAAAACGCGATAACTGAATGAAAGGTCAACACTTCTTTTCAAAAGCATGTACTATATATCTCTAAAGGATTATTTCGCTACAAAAACTCTAGATTTTGTCGATACATACGTTGAAATAAACATATTGAAAACACCCGAATTTGAATATTTTCTGAACAATTTTTTTGTTATTGAAAGGAAAACACATACATAAACAAATAAAGATGACATATTATTTTCATATCACATTTTGTTTTTGTAAGCGATTAGCTGCGCTATGAAATATATAAAGAAAGATTTTTATTTTTATAAATGATAAATTTAGGTTTTTATTGTTACTTATTACTTTTCTTAACACTATTGTTCTTCATTTGGTTCCCCGCCTCTACATTTTTCACCTATTTTGATGTCTTCTAATGAAAATCTTGGTCCATTGGTAAGTGGCAATTCTTATTTAAAAAATGTATTGTCTCCATTTAAAAGTAACTTAAATGTTGCTCACATAAACTGCAGAAGCATTCGGCCTGTTACCAAGCTGGATGAATTGAAGAATCTTTTGGGAAATAATAATACTTTTGATATTCTAGCAGTTACTGAAACATGGCTTGTTCCTGATATATTAAATTCAGCAGTTTCTATTCCGGGGTACTATTTCTGTCGTGGTGATCGTGAAATACCAGGTAGGGGTGGTGGTGTCGGAATTTACTTATCCAAGGGTCTCCCTTTTAGACATGTTTTTAAATCTTCAGTTCGCCATTGTGAATCATTGTTTTTAGAATTACAATTCCAGAGCACTAAAGTTCTTTTTGGTGTAATTTATTTGCCTACTGGTATATTGATTTATTTGAAAGTCTACACTGTAACATTTTTGAGGAATATAATAATATTGTACTTTTTGGTGACTTCAACTTCAATTTGTTTAACCCAACTAAGGCAATAATTTTTCGTAGACTTTGTACTCGATTAAATTTGAGTATTATTCATAACTCCAAGCCTACACACTTCGACCTAGGTAGCCGGTCTACGTCCTTGATAGATTTTATGCTAACCAGTGATTTTTCTATTGTAGCTTATTCTGATCAGATTCAATGTCCTGCTATATCAGACCACGCGTTAATTTTTGCATCACTTTCGATAAGTTTTAGCAGCTTGCCTGATTTTGTTGAATACAGGAACTTTAACAATATTGATTGGAATGGCATATGGAACTTTCTTGCTTCATACGATCCAAATTTGGTTTTTAGTAGTGTTGGTGTGGATGCCAAATGTGCCAGCATAACTTCTCTTTTGGATTCCCTATACTCGTTTGTTCCGGTGGTTAGGAAAAAGATCAAACACTCAGTTGATCCCTGGATGAAGTCTATTGATGTAAGATTTGCTGTGTCTTTAAGGGATTTGGCCTTCTCGTCTTTTCAGAATGAACGAACACAAGAACACTGGCGAATCTACTGCAAATATCGAAATCGTGCGAAAGCTATAATACGCAGATGTAGAAGATATCACTATTCCAGGCTTTTTAATGGAATAAATTCTCGTGGTCTATGGAAAGCGTTAAGAGGATCTGGATGTGTGGGTAATGATCATGAAAATATTGATATCGATGTTAATAGCTTAAATGATTTCTTCTCTAGTTCTTCTTCGAATACTCCTGTTATGCCCCTAAATTTGGAAAGTTTTACGGACTCAGACTCATCTTTCACTTTTCGTTGTGTGGAGGAATCTGAATTTATAGAAGCTTTATGCAGCGTAAAGTCTAAATCAATAGGTGTTGATGGGATTCCTATTGCATTTATAAAGAAGGTTTTTCCTTACATTTCCAACCTGATTTTGGACTTAGTTAATTGCATATTAACTACATCTACATTCCCCCATCATTGGAAAGCTGCTAGAGTGGTACCGATTCCTAAATGTCGTTCGGTCAGAGAACCATGTGATCTAAGGCCTATATCAATTTTACCAGCTCTATCAAAGGTTGTGGAGTCCATTATTAAGAAACAAATGCTTGAGTATTGTTCTCAAAGAATTACTGAATCTCAGTATGCTTTCCGTAAAAGATACAATACCACACATTTGCTTCTTAAATTGACTGATTCTATTCGTGGACACATTAACAATGACAAGTTATGTGTTCTAGTTGCATTAGATTTGTCTAAAGCATTCAATTCTCTTGATCATTGCCTTCTTATATGGAAGCTTAAATATAATTTTGGTTTTTCCAAATCAGCATGTATGCTTATTCTTTCTTACTTACAAGATAGAACCCAATTTGTTATGTTAAATGGTGTCATGTCAAATACTTGCTCTTTATTTTCCGGTGTACCCCAAGGATCTGTCCTTGGCCCACTGCTTTTCATTTTATATGTCAATGATCTCCCGCTACATGTAAACTCATCAGCTTGTGAAACGTATTTGTTTGCTGATGATATTTTTATCCTCTTCAATGGTTGTCGTGAATTTCCAATGTTACTTGAGAATGACATTAATGTTTATCTGAGATGCTTTGTTGATTGGGCAGCGAGAAATTCATTAAATATTAACTCATCTAAAACCAAGGCTTTGGATTTTAGATTTAGTAACAGATCTGTACACCTACTAAATATATTTATTGGTCAAGACAAAGTTGATTTTGTTCACCAGCATAAGTGCCTTGGAGTTACAATTGATTGTGAACTTTCCTTCAAACATCATATTGATACTTTAATGGGTAGAGTATATAGCGTTTTACGTCAGATTTATTCGTCAAACATGTACTTAACACAAAATGTAAAACATACTTTAGCAAGTTCTCTATTGATGACACAAGTCTTGTACGGTATTGAGGTATTTTCTGGAACTGTTGCTTCAAATATAAATAGGCTAAAGCGTATTGTTAACATAATTACACGTTTTGTATATAATCTACGACGTGGCAGTCATGTATCTAGTCATGTTATACGTTTTCTGGGGTGTTCCTTTGACATGTTTATTAAATACCGCTGCTTATTACTTTTTTATAACGTTATTAAAAATAATGTCCCTTACTCATTTAGAACGTCCTTTACCTTTACTCATTCATCCAGAAACCCACAGATTTTTATACCTAGAATCTTTAAAAATGTTTTTGCTAGATCGTTTTTGGTCAGAGTTGCGAGATGTTGGAATACACTTCCACTCGAATTACGCATATTCTCCCAGAGTAACAATGCTTTTCGCCTCAAGATTTTGCAATTATTTCTAAACACATCTTAGTTGTGTCTAAATCTAGTTTATGGTAAATGTATTATATAATACACAACTTAAGAATTAAGATGCCGCTTACTGAATATTTTATGTAGTAAAATAGTTTAATTTGTTTTAATGGCTGGGGAGCCAACTTTTCTTTTCTTTTTTGAATATTAGAGTAAAAGTAGAAATAGTTTTAAATAAATTAAGAATCTTTATATGGTAAATAAATTAAGCTCAGGTTATATTATTTAATGCAAGTTGATACACATTATTGGCCTTGGAGGCTTTGTATCACTAATGAATTGAAATAAATAAATAAATAAAATAAATATTAAGCCAAGAAAATAAAAAAAATTGAAATCATATGGTATCACAGCCCTACCTTGATATCATTGTACCATGATAAAATCTTTCTTTCTTTATAGTTTACTCATTATGAAGCTACCCTAAAAATTAGATCGATTAGTTGTATAGAAACATTTTTGTCAAACCTTTCTATACACGTGGGACCTCTGTACAATGTGAAGTAGGGTATAATCAGGATATATGGGGACAATACCTAAACGTGGACCAATATGTTCTATTTAGACCGAACATTTTATTTAGAATGTTAATATTCCTGGGATTATTAAAGCTTATGAAAAGTTTTCAAGCTCTGACATTATAAGTGCGAGCTCTATTTTATTTAAATTCCAAAGACTGATAGACAGACATGGCAAATGCTTTTAGGCTCTCCGATCTTTGTATGAGTTTGTATGAGTTGAGTTTTGTAAGTATTTTACAAAAGAACATATATATTTTCATATTCGCAGAGATACGTAAGTGGGCTCAATGCTGACCAACTTCAGACATTCTTTTCTTAGACATTTACCCATTCCATAATTCAAAAATTTGATTGATTGATTTGATTTGGGCTTTCCATACTTTGTTTTCACAAAAGCATAGCCTTGTTTATGTTTAGCATTGATTTCTGCTAACATTCTGCGATGATGAGAAAATCATAGGTTCACATCACTTAGCTCACGTATAAATGAAAGCTAGCTATCTTTCTTGAAGGTTTTCACAAACTATCTCTTATACATTATATCACAAAAAATATTGTACTTACCGTTGATAAAATGGATGGTACTTTACGGGATTGAACTAAAGTGATGTAGTTAACATAATCTAATGCCGTGTGGTGAAAACATGATTTGGATGCTGATAATATATTGGCTGCTTCCTGCACTTCTTGGGTACGATTTTTACTTGCCTATGGAGAGAAGACAAATATATATAAAAATAAATATAATCCATTGACCCATTAAAATACAGAAAAAAGTACAGATGGAAAGACATGAGTTGTGTGGTCAGCGACCACATGTACGTGCATGTATTCAACCAATATCTTTCCATCTTTGTTGTTACATTGTTGCTACTTACTTGAGCATTTTTAATTAATGCATTGTCATAACCCTCAGACACTTTTAGGAAATGTCCTTTATAGTCTTTCACTTGATTAATGTCGTCCTTAACGAATACGGTTAAATTTTTTAATACCGTACGGCTGGCTTGATCCAATAAAGTGGTATGAAATTTATTCATTTCCTATAAGTAAATTGAATCATAGAATAGGGAAAATCATCAGCATCATCAACAACAACATTGTCGACATCATCATGTGAATGAATGAATAAATGATTGGATGCAATGAAATGTGAATATGAGAGACAGAGCATGACATGGCCTTGTAATTAAAAACTTGACACAGTGTTCAGCAGCGCAAAAACAATGCAATTTTTTTACAATTAAGTTTATGGCGGTGGAAATCAATAGAGTTATTCTTAAAGTTATGGGTTGATTACAGTCAAATTTCCTGCGAAATCACACATTTTTTTTGAATTCCAACTAGTTTTTTTATAAAATGAGTTATATTGAAAAACAATTAGCAAACAAACTAGTAAATGAAAGGGATATCCTCTTCCACACAGAGAAAGGCGTTTCATAAATTAGATCTTTGAGACTCATGGTAATACAAGTTTGTAGATATTACGAAGATATTATACTAATATGAAGTTTATTTATGAAATTTAAAATTTTCAAAAAATCTGTGTAAGGAGGTTAAAGATGCCAACATTTAGAAATCAATTAATCAATTAATTAAATGGAACGCATGGTGATATGCCCCAAAATAAATGGAAGCCATAACAAAATTTACAGAATTTCAAATACCAACTAAAACAAATTTCGTACAAAAATGCGACGACAACATTTATTACATAATACTATACAGGGTGAGATAAAAACTGCAATAAAGTCCAACGCCATAATTTTTACATGAAAGCAAAAAATGTCGGAAATATCATCAAATGTTACAATCAGTTTAGGTTTTTTCGAATTGGTCACCGTTGGCACGAATTATGGCCAATGAAACCGTCATACGCTGGCCGAATGTTGCTCTACGATATTTTGGCCAATTCCCGACGAGCGGAGAGCGACCATCGGCTGTTATGGCGACCGACAACATGACCAAGACCGGCCTTTGAGTTTTGGTGGCCAACTGAAGGTGCACATTTTCAGCTGACCTCTTTGGCAAGTCAACACGATCATTTTGTTTGTTTACAAACTGCTGGGCGACGAATATTCTCTCATCGGAGAAAACGAAATTCGGCATTTCACCACTTTCGGCCGAGCGAGGCAACACTTTAGCTCTCTTGAGTCTATTTTCTTTCAGTTGCGGTGTAAGTTCTTGCACTTTTTGGAATTTCAATGACCACGAGCTCATATTTTAATATTTGCCGAATGAAATATTGCGATATGTTCAGATCACGAGCCATTTTCCGACCATTGCGACACGGGTTTCGATCAAGTCACTTCTTTACTTTACGAACCATTTCTGCTGATGTTGCTGTTTTCTTCCTTCCACTTCCTTGACGTCGGGTTACGCTACCAGTATCAAGTTAACGAGCGATTGTACGAGACACAAAAGATTTATTCACATTTAAATGCTGGAGTGCTCTAACGATGGTCACTTGAGGTTTTAAAGCTAAATATAAAGAAATCACACTATCACGCTTGAATTCCATTACGTATAACTCCTTTTTCGGAGAATTCTCACGAAAATGCAATATCATGAGCTGTTTCTGGAATAATTTTAACAGCTGTAGGACGAGTGGCTTAGAAATGACAGCAGTCTTAAGTTGATTGCAATTTTTTCATCTCACCCTATAATTTCAAGCAGCAGGTGCATGGGTACAAAATTTCAGAACTTTTGAATTAAAAACAATAATCGAATTTATCGTCTCTTCCAAAAGCTATATGAATAATTCATAGTTTTTCATTAAAAAAAAACAAACATTTTTTCATTCCGTTCAATGAAATTGACATTTCATCTCCAGGGAAATATATGGTTCAATTTTCAAACACTGTGCCTCACGCTATGTTCTCTTTTACTCAACTCAGCAGCATGTCTCTATGAGACGGCAGTGGTAAACAATCAAAAATTACAAACCTGAAAGCAATGTATCAGCTTGCCCAAGGCATTATGGGCACTTTTATTATCAGAAAAATGTTGTTGCAAATCCCAGAGGGACATTGCAAATGCACTGAAATATTAAAGAAGAAAAAAATTAATAAAAAAACGGAGGAGAGATAAACCAAAAGAATATCAAATATAAATAAATAAAATGCAGTAACAACAACTATAGATTACTTTAAAACATTAAAGACGTTATCTGTAAAATTCGAGTCGAATAAATTCGAGTGAACTGCAGTCAAGTAGCTTGGTAAAAAAAAATTTTTGATTTATGTTAAGTTTGTGCTTGCACATTAATTAAGTAGAATCTCTAATTTTATACTAATTTACCAAACATTTAGGGAAATACGATATATCTAGTCAAATTTTGTACATTTTTTTTTTATCGATCAGAAATTTAATTTTACAAGAACCACTTTGTTAGTTATCGAAAAAAATATGAAAAATTAAAATGATTTCAAATTTTTAATTTAATAAAATTCAAAAAATTGAACAATTAACTTAGAGTTGAGTTTTGCTATCATATTCACATTCGTATCGTCATAGAGAAACTGACCCTAAAATGCAAAATGTTGAATTAAAAGTCTAAATAAGACAATAAGACAAACAACTATTTTTATCGATAGTTCTTATCGACTTCTTGATTTACGAAGTTATAGGAAATAAAAATTGAAACACCGACAATTTTAATTTTTGTCGTTAAATAATAGAACTACAAAACAAATTGTTTTAAGAAATAAATTACACGAATTTATAGATGCGAATTTTACAGAAACAGCCCCTTAAACAAATTCAAAAACAATTCGAATTCGAATACTTACCTTTGATTTTTTACATATTCTTTACCAGAATCTACAGCTATATTACAAAGTTTGATTATTTTTTCTAATCGTTGTTCCAAATGTTCAATATCGGCTTCTTCCTTAGATATAAATTGCCTAAAAGAAAAGAAAAAAATATTGTTATTTGAATATATTTCGGTATATATTGTAGAAATACAAGTTTAAAATATCTATAGATTTGGTAATTGATATACATAGAGTCTCAACGAATTGTTTGACTATAGTTTGCTTTATCCTTCGATGAGTAGAGTTAAGAATTATTTCGCATTTTATAAAAGTTATGATTAATTTTGAGGATTTGTATCATATCATATCTGGTAGATATAATGTTTTCTAAGAATAAAGGCGAGAACTGTTAAAGAAAACCGACTTAAAGTGATTCAGATCAAGACACGTAAATCTTCAATAATCGCCTACAGGGTGGGATAAAAACTCCTACAAAATCAAACGCCATAACATTTACATTTTTTTTTTAATTTTATTGAATGAAAGCTAAAAATGTCAAACGGTCAATAAAACCGTCACACGCTGCCCGAATGCGGTATTTTGATCGAAGCGCTTGCTTGAGGTGATCGACACTTTGGTATTTTTTAGTGCCAACCTTGCTTTCCAAAATACTCCAGACACAATAGTCCAACGGATTGGTATCCGGAGATTTTGGTGGCCATTGTGCGTTGGAAATGAAGTGAAGAACCTCATTTTGCAACCAATCTTGGGTGGCGCGTGCTGAGTACGATGGTGCTGAGTCCTTTTGGAATGTTCAAGATCTGCGGCCAAAATGTTTGCCTGTACTCTCCAAAATATTTTCGCGATAATAATTGGCATTTATTTTGATACCACGGTCGATTAATACGAACGGAGAGCGAACATCGGCTGTTATGGCGGCCCACACAATCACCATGGCCGACGTTTGAGTTCTTGTGGCCAACCGAAGGGGCACATTTTCAGCTGACTTCTTTGGCAAGTAAACAAGATCATTTTGTTTGTTTACAAACTGCTGGACAACGAATGTTTTCTCAACGGAGAAACACAAACTCGGCAGCTCACCACTTTCGGCCAAGCGAAGCAACTCTTTAGCTGTTTTGAGTTTATTTTCTTTCTGATGCGGTGTAAGATCTTGCACTTTTTGGAATTTCAATGGCCTTACCCCGAGCTCATTTTCAATATTTGCCGAATGGTATGTTCAGCTCACGAGACATTTTTCGGTCATGCGGCGGGCGACGCGGGTCGCTTCCTTATTTTTCGAACAATTTCAGCTGATGTTGCTGTTCTTCCGTCCACTTCTTTGACGTCGGGCTACCCTACCAGTATCACGGTAACGAGCGATGGTACGAGACACAAAAGAATCATTCACATTTAAATGCTGGACAGCTCTAACGATAGCCACACGTGGTTCTCCAGCCAAATTTAAAGAAATCACACTATCACGCTTGAATTCCGTCACGAACAACTTTGTTTCTGGAAAATTCTCACCAAAATGTTTTTGTACGCTTGTAAACAGTAAAATGAGCTGTCAATGGAATAATTTTAACAGCTGTCGGACGAGTGGCTTAAAAATGACAGCAGTCTGAAGTTGGTTTCAGTTTTTTCAAGGAAGTGGACGACAACAACATCAGCAGAAATGGTTCGAAAAGTAAAGAAACAACTTGATCGAAACCCGCGTCGCTGAGGCCGAAAAATGGCTCGTGAGCTGAACATATCGCAATATTCCATTTGTTAAATATTGAAAAATGAGCTCGGGGTAAAGCCATTGAAATTCCAAAAAGTGCAAGAACTTACACTGAGTCGATCAAGCTATGTATGTGCGTCCGTCTGTCCATGTTAATTTGTAATCACTCTACAGGTCGCAATTATGACCCGATCTTCACGAAGTTTAGAATGGAGGTGGGGCTAGTGCCAGAATAGAAGCCTATTGCTTTTGGAGATGATCGCATAATATATACAGGTAGCAATTATAGCCCAATCGAAGCGGAAGTAAGCATGGGCAGTTTGATGGTCATCGGGTAATATTTAGTGGGTGAAATAGACCATAACATTTATGTTAAATAAAAGTCAAATTTTCCATTAAAACGCGAATATTTTTATTATCGACGAAATCACAAATAGACGAACAGGTCAATCCTGACCGTTACGTAGATACCGATAGCAAATATATCGGATATATATAGCGAAATATATACAATGTATATATACAAAGGAAGGGGATGTTAGCTAGAATGCTTATATCTCAAGAATGGCTGGACCGATTTGACAAATTTTGTCAATTCCGAATGCCCTCTTGGCATAAAAGTATAAAATCTAAAAAAATCACATAAAAAGATGCCAATAATGATGTTAATATAACTTTTGTAGTATTTTGTGAAATCATATAGATGAGTCTAAATTTGAAGATACTTTTGCTTTTGGAGATGATCGCAAAATTTTTAGGGGTTTAAATTAACCAAAAAGAGAAAAAAATTCCTGATCATACGATTGAAGCTAATCGACACGCATGAGAAGAGGGTTAAGGACAGGGAAGAATTCTAGCATTTTGGATGAACATTGTATTATATTTAGCTGTAAAATGGACCACAACAACCAACAGCACGACGGAGTGCGTAAATATTGAGCAAATGTCCCTGGTCAAAATGCAAAGGGTAATATCACGGCAGTACTTCGTGATATAATTTCAAAAGGGAATTCTTCCAAAATGGATTTGGACATAAGAGGTCTTCTAACATATTGTAGTGTTGTAGGGTATCACATAGTCGGCCTTTGTTTACTTGTTTTTTTGATAATTTTATATGATTTCAAATAATGCAGAACTTATTCAAAAAGTGGTGTTTGTCCAGTACGGTCCTCACTTGTATCCAGTACAATAACCAAAATAATGTTACCAGTTCTTGTATCAAAACAAACGCACAGTAACTACCTCTCACTAAAGACATTAAAAATCTTTTTAAATTTATTTTGTCTGCTTTTCATTTTTTTAAAGGCCATAATACTACCGAAAGAGTTTCATAAAAGTAAACAACAAAGAATATTAAATTCATTTAGTCTACTTTTCACGCCCCCTTTTATTCCGCCGTTTATTCGTGTATTATTTACTTGCCATTGTCAATGCAAACTTTCATTCGATTTTAAGAGGTATCGTCGGTCGGTCGATTCGGATGGCTTTTTCCATTCTTGTCACTTCAAGTGTGTTTATGTGTCGTGTCTGCTTGCATGGCTGTGGTTAATAGTTAGTTTGTTATTTGTTTTTCTAAGCTTGTTATCGGCAAATAAGCAAATAATTATAGATTCAAATATATGCTGAGATATGTCATAATACAGCGCTGATGAAGATAGTAAATGTAAATGTTGTTGACTATGTTTTGTTATTAATATAATTCAGTTTGGGATTTTAACTGTATTTATTTCCAGGAAAATTATATAAATATTAAATCATCTTCAGTTGTTGAAATCGACGGATTGAGACAAAAGATTTTCTGCTAGAGGAATTTAATTGAATTTCTATTATTTCCTGAAGAAAATAACATAAAAGTGTAATGTTAAAAGCACCTGAGTACTCGATATGTTGTTGTTGTTATTTTTTGTCATTTTCTCATTACAAGACGCTATTTTCTCTTCTCTTTTGGTCGAAAATCCACTTTAAGAACACCCATCTGCTTGGTCGAACGCAGTTTCCCGAGGTTATTTGATTGAGAGTGTCCGTCTCGATCCGTAAAATGTTTCCAAAATAAAAATTAATATAGAATTACACTAAATTCATTTGAAACATTCTCAAAGAGCTAGTAATTTTATACCCTACACCACATAGTGGTAAGGATATTATGTCTTTGTGCATTTCTTTGTAACAGGGAGAAAGAAATGAGATATACCCATAGTTACTTCTGAGGATATTCGTAGAATCACTTTCTGAATCGATTTCTGCATGTCCGTCCGTCCATGTATTCTTGTGAATAAAATGCAGGTCCATTTATTATCCGATTGAGATGAAATTTTGCAAACAATATTTGTTTGGCCCAAGGACTAACCCCTATTGAAATTGGTGATAGTCGGTTCAGATTTGGATACAGCTCCCATATATATTTTCAACCGATTTCGAGTAATATGTGCGCCAAATGGCCCAAATGACCTGCACATCCCACCGAATTCGGCCTTGAAGCAAGTACATCAAATTTGGTGAAAATCGGTTCAGATATAGCTATAGCTCCCATATATATGTTTCATCCCATTTTGGGTTTAAAGTCCCTCAAATGCGTAATAGGCACTCCACAACAATGATATTTGGTACCAAATGTCATATACAACCCAGAAATACCTCTGCCAAAATTTTATCAAGATCGGTAGAGATTTGGATATAGCTCCCATATATATCTTCAGCCGATTTCGTGTTAATTGTGCGCCAAATGACCAATATCAGTCCAAATGAACTGCATTTTGGCACATCCGACCGTTCATCGGTTCAGATATAGCTATAGCTCCCATATATATTGTTGGGGCAACCCACATTAACAGTATGGCATCTCATGTTGCAACATCCTATACGGCAACGCTTATATAATAGGACGCCGTGCTACCGCCATTTCAGCTTGCTCAGTCTTGTTTTGTCTGTCACTCGAGTCTGACTCACTACATTGTAACTTCTTCATTCCTGTTGGTATTGCGGAGACCTTCACTACGTCAAATTTTGTCCTTTCCAGAAACATAAATGCACAACATGCAATCAAGTGGGTCATAAAAATAACTTTTGCAACATCGCTAAAACTGGTAAGAATTTCAAATCATCGTCTGAAAACAACCAGAACGAATTCAAGAAATACAGCAATTCAAGGAAATCATTCAAAACTAAGGCAGTTTTCAAAACACACAACATTAATTTCCGCGACTTAAGGAAATACACAACTGTCCTAATTAACAACAATCCTGTAAAACTTCAAATTGATACTGCATCAGACATATCAATTGTATCTATCAACACATGGAAAGCTATAGGTAAGCCTGAAGCCTACGAAACTTTTGACAACGCTAGCGACGCAAACGCAAACTCAATCAAGCTCCTAGCAGAATTTCAATGTGACGTCACAATCGACAAAACATCAAAAACATTAAAA